TTGTGTACTGTAGGAAAGGTCACATAGTACAGTGACTGCACACTGAATGGAGAAAACGAAACAAAGCAGTTTGCTTCCTAAAAGACATTGAAACATTATAATTATTTTCCGACACATCAAGTGAATTTCATCCTTTGCACTCTCAATTTCCGACCCACCTATTATATTATTCACTCCACACTTCTCTACCTATTCCCCATCCCCACTCCATTCCTTCTATCACCATATCAATACTTTCACGAATAATAAATTTTTACACTCGTTTTATCTCATCTTTTATCACTTTTTACTTTTTTTTCTTTTACAAATAAGTAAATTAACTTTTTTTTATGACTATTTTAGTCTTACCATCACTGTCAAATGATTCTTGTACTTTTGTCAGTTTCTTTTTCTAATCAAAATTAAGTTTAAATCTTTACTTTTAACTTTACAGAATGTTATTTGTCGTTCATTTTTAAATTTAATTTAACTTTATAAAACTATTATTATTTAATGGCATGCCTTCATTGAGTTAAGGTGGTTTCGATTTTTCAATCAATCGGAAGTACATTGTATTTTTTAAGGTTTAATAACATTTTTTTCTATTTTTTCTATTTATTTTTTATTTAATGTGGTTTTTATGTAGTTTAAAACAATTCAATATAGTTTTTTATATTAACTTTGTTTAAATAATTATGAACTGACATTTGCTAATACAATTTGTTTCATGTATGAAGTTGAGGTGTATTATTAGTGTCTTAAAGGTCCAAATGCTTGTCCTAATATTATCATTTTTTATATGTTTGTCGGATCAAATTTGGATGTTACATGTAAAAGATGCTCTGATACCAAAATTAGTAAATATTTGACTGTTCAAGTAATTAATGAATATTAAATGTCATTATCTAACTCTTTTTCTCATATTTATAAATTTCAGAATGAGCTTTGGATTAACAACAATTTAATTACGACCCAATTGATTATAATAATATTTTATCTTAAATTAATTTATTTTAGAATTAATTTTTTTATAAACTAACCGTTCGACTTCTTATAGCCACTCGGTCTTAGACTTATACACCATCGTATTTGTGGTATAATTGATCCGTTTAGACCGATCGGTCAAATATGACCAAATAATTTATTAAAATGGGAAGAATTAAGTCTTAACGCTGATCTATCAAGAAGAACCACATCAAGTTTTTTAAACAAAATAAAAAGGCTATTAATTAAAAAATAAATAGAGAAAAAACATTGCACATTGATGGAGAGAGGAGGTATACTATTAAACTTTTTCTGAACAATGCATCAATGTGAGAAAGTATTGTTTTGTGAAGGAGAAGAATGGGAAGAAGGAAATTGTTAATGAATTAATGTGTTGAAAGTGCAGATAAAATGATGATAGTGGAGATCTTGATATGTAATTGAGATGTATGGGCAATTTTTGACTCTTTGGAGGGTCTAAGATGGGGCATCTATCCAATCTGTCACCCAATATATACTGATATTGATAAACACAACACAACAACAAAATTCCATAACTATAACCACCATCATGTGCATCCCTCTGCGCATCTTTTATACCCACTCTCATTCATCACGCGTCCTTTTCCCACCTTTTCCATTCATCAAAACTTTCACTTTTCATTACTTTCAACTCAATATTTACCATTCAAATTTACATTTTACATATATTTTAATTATACCATCATAAAATTTAATATTTATACAAGTTACATCCAATACGTCATTTCAATATGCATGAGATATAATACAATATAAAGTGTGTGTGAGATATAATATAATAAAAAAAAGAAGAAGAAAAGTTGTGGCTGAGGAGCGAAGAGCAGGATTTTATAATTTGCAAACAAACAAAATGAACACGTTTCTGGAAATGAATAGTATTTGATTGCAATTTGTGGTGAATTTGTGATGGTTGATGTGTCTGTTGATAAGGGTTTATCGGCTATTTTTGTAAAAGTAGCAAATTCAAATTTAAATTATAGGTTTGGATTACATTAAAGTTTGTCTCTAATGCTTAGGAACACAACGATGTGAAGAGGTCTTATATTAGAAAAACATATGTTTTATCATATATTGGATATTTGTTTATGAATATGACGAATTCGTTTATATTCATAAATATTTTTATTTTTTTAAATGTTTAAATAAGACTATATTAAATTTTTTTAAATATAAACTCAAATATTATTTATTTTAAAATAAAAATTTAAATAAAATTGATTTGTAAACTATTGATACAAATGAAATTAATATTTTTAAAAATAAATTTAAACAAATTTGATACCAAAGTACGTTGATTATTAACTTATACAAATAGTCACTTAAATAGTAGCATCATGGTTTAACCAACTTATCTTTTCATGTTTACATATATCTATATATATATATATATCTA